TCTTGAAGGGCTTTGTCACTTAATAGTCTCAAAGTGACATTAATTAGAGGCATAAAATGATACCACTACTATTGCTGGGAGAAATTATGTTTCAAAAAGTAGTAAAGGCGCTGGTTTCAGTGAATCCCTCCTATGTTTGAGAGCCACTCTGAGCAGTAGATTTGGCTTGTTCTGAATCTAAGGTCTCACCAGGAGTTTGCCAGATTATGCCCTGGACGTGTACTTATTTCAGATGTCAGCTCTTTACAGCTAAAGTGGATTTAGACTTCAACATATACTCATGGAAATGCAGCTACATTGTCATAAGCATTTGAGCTGTTAAATGCTAGAATTTGAGGGAACAGCTAATTTATGGTTGCTAAAAGAATATGAAGTCGATTTTCTTAACCAACTCCCGAGATCACCCCTTCATCAGTCAAAGGCAGTACTGGCTTTTGGTGATGGCTTGTCTGTTCCCTTTTTCCCAGTAGCTGATAGGAGCCATCTGTCAGCCAGCACCCAGCTTGCTAAAGTTAAGCTGGGCAGTTCTGAGATCCTTGCTGGCCTTGGATCTCCAAGCAGACAAAGTTAAGTTGTTAGTGGTAAAAACTGAAGTTGCAATTTGAAGAGCACAAATTCACGGTGACCCTCTGTACTGGTAAGGCTGTTAGGAGTGCTGCCCCTCTACTCCCCTGCCTTTGGGATGTCGAACAGGGGTGAGTGTTGACGCCTCTCCAGCTGCCTGGCTGCCACCTTCTGAGAGCTCTGCCAGAGCAGCTCCATCAGCTGCTCTTCACGGACCCTTTGGCTGGCTCTCCCCCACTGTCCTCGCCTCTGCTCGATTTCCTCTGCCAGAACACGTGTCTTGCCATGTTGTCATGGCAGACTAATCTCTCTTTGTTCGCCCAACAAATGAATATCTGCCATGCCAGTCACAGTGGAGATGGTTTGTGGATACATGGAATGATGAATGAAGGAGCCAATGAAAAATATAATTGAGAAGGTGTCTTTGTCTCAGATCTGTGGGGCTTGGATTGACCCCTGTTCCAGAGAAACTTAGCAGCTTTTTCCTGACAGTTAAGTAAAACTCTGGAAAACTGTCTTCCATGTTTTCTGCTGGGACTTTGATGACGGAACAGCAGTGTCTGTGGTAGAGTTACTTTAATATAACCACCACTCACGGGTTTCGAGAACGTTAATGTGATTTGATATTGTATGATTGGTTTCTCTTTTCTCCAGCTCTTTCGCCTGTAGATGTATGTCAGGTGGTAAAGCTGATCCCGTTAACTCAGTATTCTCCATGTGTCTAGAATGTCTTTCTGGGGAAGGGCAAATACTTCTTTTTCAGACACCCGTGTAATCTCCCTGAATATGAACATGCATGTTCTATGGTGTTTCTTGCATACAGTTGCGTCCCAGTTGATTAAGGGAGATCTATTTTGTAATCCCATGTTTAGCTTGGAAGTAATGTATCTCTAAGAACATGATAGTTAGATCTTACAGCATTCTAATGCTGAATCTCCATATAGATTAAAGGATTTTGAGGGCTACCCTGGCAACCTCAACACAAATTACTTAGAAATGATGTTTGGAGCACAGCTCATTCAGAAGTTGAGGTGTGTCTGTCTTCATCCCATTTCTCTTTACCTTACTTTTTTTCCATGGTAGGGCAAAGTTCTCAGAATCACACACGTCCCATTCCCCTAAAGCCAGCAATCGAGATGTTAAACCCTGGAAGGATCACCTGTACATGTAAACTCCATGTGGTCTCCTTTAACATTTCAGGATAATTTTTAACAAGCCTAGTTATTTCTACTTAGTGTTCTAGTCATAGACCTTAACAGACTTTCCTACAAATGAGCCAACATAACGAACCGGCCTCCCCAGGCCTGTTCATCAGGTGTTTGCTGTGCATCCGCTCTGTGCATGGCCTGTGGGGGAACAGTTGCTTGGAAGAATAAAACACAGGTCTTGCCCCCGGACACTTCAAATCGAGAAGACCTTTGTTTCCAAAATGAAGGAATCGTTGATGGGTTAAGGAAGCAGAATCACCGAACTCTCAACAGTAGCACTCCTTCCATGGGGCTGTTCTAACCCTCATGCAAACCTGCATCCTTGGTCCTGGCCCGGCTTCTCTCTTCCCTCCCGGGCAGCGCAACACACCCGCTGGCACACTCCCAGCACCTTGTTTGTGGCTCTCTTGCAGACCATGCCACCGTGGAATCTGATGATCGGATGCACTTTCTCTGTCCTGTGGGACTGGGCATTTTGCTGGCTGGGAACATATCTTTGTTCCTCTTCACAATCCTAGCTGATAGCTTGATGACTTCTGCAGATCAGGGCCTGAGGTGCATCAGCAATGCCCAGTCCTTTATGCCCAGTGAAAGTCAGTTTCCTTCCCACCTCTCCCTCCCTGCTTGAGACTTCTCCACCACACTTCTCGCCATGGAGCATACCATGAGCTGTAGCTATTTCGGTTTCCCTGTCTCCCTCCACGAGAAGGTCAGCACGATGTGGGCAGAGGTTTTTGTCTGTTCCCTGGCGGGCAAACTTTCAGTGCCCACCTCAGGGCCAGGAGTAGAGTAGATGACCGAGAAATATTTTTTGAATAATGCTTGAGTGAATGAATGAGTGAATGAATGAGGAATCTGTGTGAGTGCCCTTTTGGGTGAACTGATAACATACCCTTTTGCTTCTGAAAAGGAAAATAGGACTCTCACAGTTTTGTGATGCATCTGTCCAAATAGTACTCATAGTAGCCCATTTTAAATTTCCTCAAACAAGTAAGAAAAAGGTCAGTTGTCTTCTGCTACCAACACCCAGTTTTGAAAGTAAATAGCTTGGTCTTGCACCTAAACCGGGCCCACTTCCGTGTCCGAATAAAGGCTTTTTTTTTTTTTTGCACTGAAGCAGTCCTGGTGGATGTGTTCCAGGAAGAAACACGCTTAACGAACTCAGTGGCTTTCTTTTGACGGTGTGGACAAATTAACTTTTATTGGCCTTGCAGCTCCCCGGATGTGGTGACACTGTAATTCTGGGGAGGCTCTGGCTGTTAGGGAAGCTTTTAATGCTTGTTTTCATTATCAAGAATTAAAGGTTAACAATACTGGTGTATTGTGGCAAAGCATCACAGTTAGCAGGGAGATTCCAACCTGCGTGGCGTCGTGTCCCAGAGGACACAGGGCTCAGCCGGGCTCCCTCTCCCCTCTCTCTCCCTCGGCCCTTTGTCTCCCCTGTCATTTGCCTCCTTGTTTTTTGTTTGTTTGTTTTGGAGACAGAGTCATGCTCTGTCGCCCAGGCTGGAGTGCAGCCTGCGATCTAGGTTCACTGCAAACTCCACCTCCCAGGTTCAAGTGATTCTCCTCTCTCAGCCTCCTGAGCAACTGAGATTACAAGCGCCCGCCACCACGCCCCACTAATTTTTGTATTTTTAAGTAGACATGGGGTTTCACCATGTTGGCCAGGCTGGTCTCAAACTCCTGACCTCAGGTGATCCGCCCGCCTTGGCCTCTCAGAGTGTTGGGATTACAGGCGTGAGCCACTGCGCCCGGCCCTGCCTCCTTGTTTTTGCAGCTCCTCTCTGTGGCCCTGTCCCAACTTGTATGCTTCCTTTTTCACAGAGCCATCATGCATGATGAAGAAAATGGAATGCATTCGTATTTTATAGACATTATTATTGTCAGAAATACATGCAGATTTGGACTGGGACAAACACAGAGATGAACACTGTTATTAAGACAGGACTTCTTTTAAAGCTTTAGTGCCTTTTAATCATATTTTCATAACATAAAATCATAACATAAACATCAGGAAAGCTAGTAATTATTATTTTGTGTGTGGACTGCCTGGCTGTATTATAAACAGGGCAAAGCTTAAGTTTTCCTTCCTTCCTTCATGCAGTCAGGGAGATACTAAGTTGCAAAATGATGACAAAGATACACACAAGTCACTTGGCCCAGAAGGGCACCAAGAGCAGCTATTAATAAGGAAAACAACTTTTTCCAGCCGAGGCCGAGTTGATTAACTTATTTTCCTGGAGGAGAGATAAAGCTTAAGCTATAATTTATTGAAAATTAATGAAAATTAATTTTGGTGGCACTGGCTATCAAACTAGAATGAAAATAAGAATGTGAGTATACTGTATTAAACCAGATTTTCCTTCTGGACTCCCATATTTCTTCAGCTCTTGTACTGTCACAGAGGTTCGAATTTGAAAGCATTAATGTTGTCTATTTGCCAGTGGTTCTGATGGTAAATATCCACAGAGTCTTTTATCTTTAATTTCTTTTGATGTGTGTTTTTAGATCAAGCTTAGTTAACAATTTTTAATGAGAACTTATACGTCTTGGAGCTTTAGTGCTTTGTTTCAAAAGCCTGACCTTGCATTTGCTTTTTAAACAAATGTGGCAGAGCTCTTGTTGCCAAAGACTAAAGTCTTTAAAGCTTGGTGTGATCATTTATAAAGTTCTTGATGTCCAATTATGAGATTTTTCTAGGGGGATAGCCCTAGTGCTGTAACCAATGAGATACTCATAGAGAAAATTTTACTACCTTATTGGTTAAATCATTTTTAGATCATTTTTTTCCTCCAGGATCTCAATTTTCATGAATGTTCTTTCCAGCCTATCTTTAAGGTTTATTTTTACATTGCATTGCAAACAATGCAGTATCAAATGTTTGTTGTTCACATGGATGTGGACATCAATATGAAGAAGGAAGAGCCAGACAGGCATGTCATGGTCCTCTGAAGGGCCACTCATATTACAAATGGCCTAATGGGCCGGGCGCGGTGGCTCACGCCTGTAATCCCAGCACTTTGGGAGGCCGAGGTGGGCGGATCACGAGGTCAGGAGATCGAGACCATCCTAACTAACACAGTGAAACCCCGTCTCTACAAAAAATACAAAAAATTAGCCGGGCGTGATGGCGGGCGCCTGTAGTCCCAGCTACTCCGGAGGCTGAGGCAGGAGAATGGCATGAACCCGGGAGGCGGAGCTTGCAGTGAGCTGAGATCGCGCCACTGCACTCCAGCCTGGGCAACACAGTGAGACTCCGTCAAAAAAAAAAACAAAACAAACAAACAAAAAACAAATGGCCTAATGAACTGGGTTCCCAGGCAGGTTCCTCAAGGAGAGATGTTGCATCCTGGCACCCACATCCCTGCACTTAAAAGATCAATGGCCTTGATTTGTCTGAAATTACCTCACAGAGAGGATTTCTGTTAATGATTACAGATGCTTCCCAATACACTTTATGGGACCTCTTCAGTGGTGTGTGTGGGGGGTCTCTGCTGTCCCTAGCACGGGAAAGATGCTTTCACCAGAAGATAAATTGGCATGAACCCTACCAGGCCTGGGGGGTAGGAGCTTCTGTAGCCTTTTCAAGTAAAAGGGAAAACCCACACTTGGATTAGCAAAAAGGTTAAAAAAAATTTTTTAAATGCCTGCATTTTCATTAGTTCATGTTAGGTTCCCCATTTTCAGGGGAGAGAGAAGATGAGTGGTCTGGTCTGACAGCCCAGATGTGAATTCTGGCATTAACATGTCTCATCAGCTTTTTGACTTTGGAGAAGGTACTGAGCATATCCAAGCTGCAGCTTCCTCATGGAGGGCATTCCCACCTTGGGTTGTTATTCTAAGGATTAAAGAAGATAATACCGAATGGCTGGCACATTGTAGGTGCTCAGAGCAGGTGGCCTCTGTAGGTACTCGGTGTGGGGATTCTCGTTTCACTGGTGGCCTCTGCAGGTACTCTGTGTGAGGATTCTCATTTCACTGGTGGCCTCTGTAGGTTGTGAGGATTCTCATTCACTGGTGGCCTCTGTAGGTACTCTGTGTGAGGATTCTCATTTCACTGGTGGCCTCTGCAGGTACTCTGTGTGAGGATCTCGTTTCACTGGTGGCCTCTGTAGGTACTCTGTGTGAGGATTCTCATTTCACTGGTACTTCTGTAGGTACTCTGGGTGGGGAGGATTCTCATTTCCACTGGTGGCCTCTGCAGGTACTGGTGTGGGATTCTCGCTTCACTGCGCCCTGCAGGTACTCGGTGTGGGGATTCTCAAGCCACTGGTGGCCTCTGTAGGTACTGTGGGATTCTCGTTTCCACTGGTGGCCTCTGTAGGTACTCTGTGTGGGATTCTCGCTTCTGTACTGGTGGCCTCTGTAGGTACTCGGATCTCCGTTTCACTGGTGGCCTCTGCAGGTACTCGTGTGGGATTCTCGTTTCACTGGTGGCCTCTGTAGGCACTTCCTGTGTGGGGGATTCTCATTTCACTGGTGGCCCTGTGGTACTCGTGTGTGGATTCTCGCTTGCCTGGTGGCCTGCAGGTACTCTCTCGTGTGGGGATTCTCGCTTCACTGGTGGCCTCTGTAGGCACTGTGTGGGATTCTCGCTTCACTGGTGGCCTCTGTAGGTACTCGGTGTGTGATTCTCAAGCCACTCGGGGCGGGGTCTGTAGGTACCTCTGGTGTGGGACTTGTTTCACTGGTGGCCTCTGTAGGTACTCGGTGTGGGGATTCTCGTTTCACTGGAACTCTCCCTCAGCTCTGGTGGGAAATAGAACTCAAACCATTTTTGCATAGCTTAGCAGGAATTGCATGGAGTTTTTTACATTATTTGAAAATTGGAACTTGCATTTCATTTTTTTAAAAATCCAAATTCTGGGACACAAATCCATAAATTTCATAAATGTTCATGCCATGCCTTGAATTGCTCATTTTATCTGCAAATGGGCTGTCTGGATTGCCTGGTGGCTCAGTGGCGAGGCTTTTATTCACCTACCAACTTAAAAGGCTGAGGAGGTATTTGAGATCTATTTTGGCATTCTGCACAGGAAGATTATTTAAATTACATTTTCAAGTATGTGTGATACCTACATGAAGCCCAAAGCAAGAATTCGAAATGTGTTTTATATTCTTACAAATATATTTTGCTTTATTTTTCATATTAGAGATGGAAAGCCTTATTATTTTTTAAGAACTTAAAAGTATTGTTTACAAAGTTATACAAATATAAGCTATAAAAAAGGCTTGCTGTGACCCTGTGAACTAAATGAAGAAAATGATAGAAAGAATATGAAATGTGCTTCCCATTTCAAAATCTCAAAGAAATGATAACTTATATTTGGGGTTTCCAACTTGAATATTCTGTTGCAAATAAATAAAAGCCATTAGTTTCAACAGAAAAAGAAAAGAAAATGGCTTCCCTGAAAACAATTCAAAGGATTGCAACCCTGAAGGACAGAGACTAATTCTAGCATTTGTAGTACTGGGAGAGATAAGGAATTGATGAAGTGTCAACAGGAAAAAAGAAAACAGAACAGTGGGATCATTGAACACTTTTATTGACGGAGATCTGCAGAGAGGTCCCCCCCGCCCCAAACTTTTATGAGTATTATAAGGCAGTGGCTGAAACTGTGATGTTCTCAGACATCTCTATGGAATATGTTCTTGGAGCAGGAAGGAGCCTCTGGAGCCTCCTCTCATTTGGACCATCTTCCTTTCATACCAAAAAATGTAGCTCAGAGGCCAGGCCAGGATGAACTAGAACAAAATCCCAGTCTCCTGACTCTACGTCAGCTCCCTTGCCCGTGACACCAAATGAACTGGTCCTGTCCTTTGCTCTGGAAACCACCAAGACAAAGCTTGATGTCTCCCTTTAGTGATCCTCACCACCACCCTCCCATCCCCAAAATAAACCACGCTGTAAAATAAAGCAAGAAAATCTCTTCCTGTGTTCAAGCTCATCCCCTGGCTTCACCTCCCTGCATCTTAGCACTTGGAAGGTTGCTTCCCAGTAGCAAAGTATCCCCGAAGGGAGTAACTTACTGAGCGCAAACATAGTCTGAGGACTGAGACCCTCTTTGTCCATAATTCATTTCATCTCCAAGAGAAGCCCAGGAGGCAGGTATTCTCAGCTGTCTGTCACAGAGAAAAGCTGAGGTCCAGAGGGGTTAATAAGCCTGCGCACGCAGGTCAGGAGAGGGAAGGTCAGCATCTCAGGACCTGCAGAGTGGAGAGCCCGGTCACCCCACCCTACCCCTCTCCTGAATCTCACTCTGGAAAAATGGAAGAAGCAAGTGCATGGGAGGTTGACCTCAGCCAACTGGCTGGGATGATTTAAAATATTTTGGGTTATGATAAATGTGGAGAGAGACATCGAAACTGATTTGTCAAGAACATTAGAAAATGAAGTGCTGACATTTCCATGCCATTCAAATAGGGAGTGCTAAGGCACAGGAGAGCCTTTGGCAGCAACAGCCTTTTTGCTTCTGATCTCGGCTCAGCGCTGCTTTCTCTCTGCTGCTCACAATGCGCTGCTTTTCTGTGATGCATCTGGCCAGAGCCAGGGAACACGGCACTCAACATTCCAGAGAAGAGCCACAAGATCGTTTTCAGGACTGCAGCGGCTGTTGAGAGACCGTCTAATGCCACCCACCTCCTCTCCCCAAAATTGGGCCATTCCCAGCTAACCAGGTGGAAGACTTTGATCTCTATTAAGTGGGTAGGTTTTGGCAAGAACAACCTAATCATCCTGCTAGAGAGTGCACAGCCAAATTGGGATGGGATTGCCTCACTGTGCCCAGCTTTCCCCTTGGCTCTTGGAGGGGGGGAACCTGGGAAGCTGGGAAATCGGACTCTAAGCCCACACCTTCGTGATTCCTCAGCGTTTATGCACAGCTGCTGCAGCGGTGCACAATCTTCCATGTGGGTTCTTTCAGCTCTGTGACTTAAATAGTCCCCTTATGCCTCCTCTGTAATTGTGATGCAGTGTTTATTCTGTTTGGGCACTGGTAATTAGAGCAAATTCAGAGATTTCCTATCCTCTGACAGGTCTCTCTGAAGAATGCCTGATTCTGAGTGATTTGTCAATATGAGGACATAAGATACAGCAAGTATATCATTTCTACCCATCTAGCATCAATATCTAGGTTAACGCAAGTCACATCACACAAACATGTTCTGTGATGGCTTTTTATTCCTGCTGCTGGGAGAATGAGACCTTTTTCATGTTTCCAAGAGATGCTGTCATATACATTATCCATACATATTAGGTATATGTGTATCACACACACAGAGTTCCAAAGCAGGACCCCAGGTTGTGTGGGCTGATGAGCAATTAAGTGTATATTTGAACAGTCTGAATGCCGATGAACTGTGAACCCCTCAAAGGCTGGGCCCTAATTCCTTTGACTCTCATATCCCCTCATTGCCTGGCACAGTATCCATCACTTCGGTGAAGTGTGGCAGAAATCTTCTAAATGTGCGAATGAATGATGGGCATGTGTGCTTGGCAGTCACACAAGTTGGATTGCCTGCACCCATATTCTGGCCTGAACATTTTTAGCTGTATGAATGTGGTCACTGTATTTACAAACCATATAATAGAAGTCCATAAACTATGGTCTGTGGCCCAAATCTGGCTACCACCTGTTTTTGTAAATAAAGGTTTATTGGAACACAAGTATGCCGTTCATACAGATTGTCTGTGGGTGCTTTCAGGATACAATGGCAGAGTTGAATCATTGTGACATAGACTGGCTCTCAATATGTATTTACTATTTGGCCCTCTGCAGAAAAGTTTGCTGACCTCTGCCATATAGGAACTGACCCGAGACCTAGCAATAAACACAGATGTCCATGAAACTAAGTTCTTACCTCTTAAGTATGTGTATGTGCACATGACCTTTCATTACTTGTTGGCTTTTTTTTTTTTTGGTAAAGTTAAGGAAACCTTGATACAGGATACCACGCTTCGTTTGTATTAACTCTTTCCATCCCTCAGATCTTTCTTCCTTGCTCCCTTGTCTTAAACATCACTGTGAACGGCACCCTCACAAAGCCCCCGAACTCAGGGGGTTCCTTTAGCTTCTTTTTTTTTTTTTTTTACCACTGTGTGCCTGAGACTCGGGAGAGCTGGGCCTCACACCAAGAAACCACCCTTTCTCAATGAGGATGAACAGGACCCCTACTGTCAGGGAACTGACCCCACGATGGGGTGGCAGGGATGATGGGAGGTGGTAAATGACTGGGTTTCCACCCTTCCTGCAAGGTACTAGACTCTTTGGGTTGGTGTGTTACTTAGGATTTTCTTTTCTTAATCATCCTCTTCCCATTGCTCTGAATTAGTAAAGTCACAAAGCCTGAAGCCTCAGGGTCTCATCACTACCTGCTCATCATGTTTAAGGGCCTGGGTCCTCTTGCTCTCTCCCGCTACCCCAAGCCTGCAGATAACACCCAGCAAATGCTGAGGGAGTCCTGGCCCGTAGAAGAATCTGCTTCACTCTGGGCAGTGACAGATCCTGATCATGTGCTTGATATCCTCAAATAAATCTTCTCACGATCATTTCTGGTCTCTCCAAATAGCAGAGTATCACTAGGCTGTCACCAGCCAATGGACACTTCAAGACACTAAATGTTTGGCGTAGGAAACCTAAGAGGCAAAGAGTGCTGTCAAGGTTGCCACACCGTAGTTGCTGGTGAGTTTACCCAACGAGCCACCAAGACCTACACCCCACTTGTCTGAGGATCTCCTGCCCAGGAATCCCATAGCTGCTACAGGGAATTCCTATTGTTCTAATAATTGATTGGGTTTTTAAAATTCACTGCCCCATTTGCCTTGTTCTTAGCCTTCAATGACTCCCATTAGTGACTTATTTTGGTAGCCTGTGTGACCCTGAACTTCCCCGGAAGACACAAGCATAATACTAAGAGCTCTGAAATAAGCAGGATAATTCTTGGCATTCATGCAAGCCCGCACTGCATAAAGCAGAGTGATTTTAGTGAATTGCCCCAGTGTTTTTACAAGGGACTAAAAGGCATGATTTTGCATACTTTTTGCACATCTAACCTACTTGCAGAATTCATCCCACTGAAATGCTCGTAAAGGATATGTCCTTTATTCTGCGCCCACTGTGTGCTGGCTGTAGATGGGAGCTTTGTAGATACTGTATTTCACCACCCCTAGTTGATTTCAGACAAAACTGAAGCTCACAGAGGTTAACCTGTCTCAGCCATAAACATTCTTTGCCGAAGCCTTTTGGAAATCTACATAAGCAAATGAAAATAATGAGAGTCTCTTATGAAAAATAATTTGGAGGCTACTGAAAGTGGTTGTAGCCAGTGACACAGAAATTCCTGCACAGGTTAAGAACTACAGGGAAGCACTTGCCTGACAAACTGAATAGTGAAAAGAAGTCCTATTAAAGAGATTTTACGATAAACATGTTCTAAGAAACATACATTGCCCAGGGCCATCAGCAGGATTCAGAGAATACTGGCTTCCCAAGGAGCAGGCCCATGGCCCCTTTGGGCCAGGTCGTCAATCCTGAAGTACCGTGTGGAAATGTAGGAGCAAGATTTGTCACTTGCATTCAAAGTCATGGGCTCTGAGGTGCCTGCCCTCACTAGGACTGACTCTTCTGAATGCAGATGAAATTCTGTTGGAAGCCCCTGTTTGCTTTATTGGGGTGGTAAGTCGGGAGAGGAACTGACTTTCCCCAGCTTCAGAGTGTTCTCCAGCTCCTAATTTGTAGGCTTTAGCATGTTTTCCAAGAAAAATTTCATTGATTTTGATTTTTATGTTTTTGAGATGAAGTATCGCTCTGTTGCCCAGGCTGGAGTGCAGTGGCGTGATCTTGGCCCACTGCAACCTCCACCTCCCGGGTTCAAGCAATTCTCCTGCCTCAGCCTCTGGAGGAGCTAGGATTACAGGTGCCTGCCACCACGCCCGGCTAATGTTTGTATTTTTTAGTAGGGATGGGGTTTCACCGTGTTGGCCAGACTGGTCTCAAACTCCTGACCTCAAGTGATCCACTCGCCCCGGCCTCCCAAAGTGCTGGGATTACAGGCGTGATCCACCGTGCCCGGCCCCCATTGATATTTTAGCTTGGTCATTCAGTTCATTGTCCTATCATATAATAACTATGTATCAAGGTACACACAGCAGAGTGCATTTTCCTGTTTTCTTTTTGGTTTTGGTTTTGTTTTTTTTTTTAAACCATGAGGTGCAACTAGAATACCTACTCCCCAGTTCAGACCTGGTACATAAAGTAAGCCCTGTGAACCCCTCGTTCTAAAGTCCTAGAACTTGCCCTTCAAGGGATTTGTTGGGTGCTCGGTGGGGCAGAGTGTTACATTTTTAGGATTTTGTGAGATTGAAATTGGCCACGGTAGCAGTATTTACACCATGGAAATCAGCAGATGCTACTTCCCTTCCATCCAGAGCCTGTTGTTCCAGATGTCCCAGACCCATGCTGGCTGCCACTGCTCACAGCTGTCACTCCCGGGACTCTGTGCTGTTCCCAGGGTCTGGGAAGGGATGGAGAATGAGCTTGCATCTTATCTGCCTGTCTCTGAGGCTGCAGTCCTCTCCTATGTTCTGACATGGAGAAGAAGGGTGGGAACTTTGAATTTCAGCCAAATTAACGACCCTGGGGCATCGATCAAGAGGGGGCCCCATAAGGTGGCCTTGGAATTTGGAACCACTTGATTCTTTGTCATCTGAGTCCAGAGGGCTCTGAGAGAGAGGAGGAAGTGAATGTTCCTGGGAACACAACAGAGACCTGCCTTTCTACCTTCCACCGTGAGCTTGTGCTGGCAGCATCTGAACTAGGATTGATTTTAAAGTAAAACCATCCTTTGTCTTGATTTAAGGTACCCAAGTCCTCAGATGCTTAAGAACCAGGCACTGTGCCATGTTCTGGGATACCGGAGTGAAGGACATTTCCTGATGATGGAAATGTTCCGTAGCTGCACTGTCTTATGTATGTGGCTATTGAGCATTTGAAACGTGACTGCTGTGACTGTGAATTTTCAATTGTCATTAATTTGAGTTTGAATTTCAATAGCCACGTGCAGCTAGTGGCCACTGTATTGGACAGAGCAGCTCCGGAGTTTCAGCGAGAGTCTTGTGTGGCAGCCTCTGTGCCGGGCATGGAGAGGATGCATTCATAACACTGGATGCCCACAAGACCACTAAGTCCTCCCTAGACCCCCGCTCCAGCATTGCTAGCCAGCAAGACCAACACTCATGCCATTAGCGGACATCTGCCCATTCAGACACACCTGCCACTAGGCTGAACACATTAGAAGGTCACCCCATGTCATTCCATCCCATCTGCAGGACAGACAGAGATCTCAACTTACAGGTGAAGAAAGAAGGCACAGACAGATACAGCCCTTGCCTGAGCCCTCAGTGCCAGATTCCTACCCAGACATGTCTTAGTAAACTTAGAACCACACTGCTAGATGGATGGCATCTCAGAGAACTCTGAGGATCTTATTTAAAGCAATCTTCCATACTTGTTCTAAGAGTAGTGTAAGAAGGAGCTCCCATGTATCGTACGGTTTTCCTTTCTTGTGGTGTTCGTGCGTGTTCAGCCTTCTCAGGTTCTTATTCGGGCACACACCCCTGCGAGTATGCACATTAGTGTACGTATTTCATTTTACACCATTTGGTGAACTTTATTTCCCAACTGGTGATGTTGGCATCTTTCTCTTTTGCTGTCTGGTTTAATTCACTACCATCTATATCAATGTCAGTGACTGGGTCACTGTTTGAGCTTTAATTTTTTTTGCAGGAATGTGGACTACTGATCAGTAAATCACTGATATCCCCCACCCCACCCCCAAGGAGTGTTGCTTTTGGATCTGTACTGATCAAAATGGGATGAAAATGGATATGTAAACCCAAGATGGAACAAGGCTTTTTGGAAATATTATATGGTGTTAGATTACTTATGAATCTATGGTTAAGATTTTTGTACATTTGGCTGGCAATTCTTTTTGCTTAAGAGCATCAAGTTGTAGACAGGCCTCCTGCACCAAGCTGGAGCAGCCAGAGCCAGGGGCAGAACCTGCCCCAGCCTCTCTGCTGCTGGAGCTGGGCCTTTCGCCTCAGCCTCCACCTTAAGGCAGGAGGGGTTTCCTCCTCATTCTTTGCAGTCAGCAAACAACTGTCTCACTCAGCCACAGCAAACCTCTTAAGGAAACTTTGTGCCCAGGTGGTTTTCTGTCCTGAAAATACATTACTTGGCTTATTTCAGGCTAGCTTCTAGCTTGCTAAACCCAGGGCTCAGGGCTCACAGAGTGAAGGGTGCACACCACGTGAGGCAACAGCGCGCTGTCTCCAATGTCACCTGCAGGACACAGGCTGGCAGGAACACAGACACTTTCAAGGGGCAGTGGGCAAGAGAGGTCTCAGCAATCCAGGCAAAGTCTGGTAACCCCTGGACACAGAGTACAACAGGCTACTTTGTATCAGTTGAGCACATGCCAGCCTACAGGAGGCTTCTGCACTGGGGAGTTCAAGAACCAAAGCCCCACCTTTAGGTCAGTTGTTTTTAAAGACGCTGCTGCACAGTTTAAACTTCAAAAGGTGAAGTGCAACAGGGTCTTATCAGCGCAACAAAGTATCAGCCGTGAAGCTGGTCTCATTCTCTCTGCAGCCCCGCCCGCCCGACACACAGGGCAGCCCGTAGGGAAGGGCATCTGTCTCCTAACCATATACAGTCAGGACTGGCCTCACGATGCCCATTGCTTGAGTTCCAGGTACAGAATGAAAAATACACTGTCTATTATGTAAAGCCTTGTACAGTCCTGAATACCAATATTATTTCAATTATTTATTATAAGCAAGTCAGCATTTACTTTTCCAAATGTCACATGAAATTTCCTTTCTCTTCCTCATATGATTCCTAAGAGGCCTATGGCTTCTTCTCTTCCTAATATGATTCTATTCTTATTTAGAATGGATATTTTGGACTGGCATATGTTATTGTACATTATCAATATCACAAACCTTTAGCCCTAGCAGAACAAAAGGCAAAGGCTAGCAATTCATTCTAAGTGTAAGTATGGTTTGAATTCAAGGCCAGAAAGATGCACATTAATCAGAAAGTGTATTGTGCAGGATGCAGTGAAGTCTAGTATCATAAAATAATCTGTGACCCCTTGGAGCTCACCACACCCTTAGACTATGACCTGTTTCCAGAAATGCTGGCGTTAGTCTCATTACGGACTTGGGTTTGGGGCTACAGATGGACCCTGTGGTGATGAGCCTGCATAGCTTCCTAAGTAAGACATGGGTGAACATACATACCCTTCCCGATGGGCCTCTCCTTTTTCCAACTCCTGAATGACCCCCAAGAGCACTTTGATGGTTTCTTGGCTTGAACTGATCAAGTTCTCCATCATCTGAAGTTGTGCTTTGAGGTCGACCACTTCTGTATGAGGCACGATTTGTTGGCATTCTTCACCTGCAGCAACCGCTGTGGGACTAGGCTGGTTCCCCAGCCCCGGCGGGGTGTGAGTCTGCGAGGGCTGCTCACTACATTCAGGGGACAGGCACTGCATCGGGGGTGAGCAGGCCAGGGCAGTTTCCGAGGGCGCCTGGAGCCCGTTGAGATGTGTGGCTCTCCTCCGCTCCTCGTCTGCTGGGCAGAGTGACCACTGGCTGGCGGCCGCGGAGTTTGACAAACCAGGCTCGGGGGCCCTGGCACTGAGGGCAGGTGCGTAAACGGTGGCAACCTCTGTTTTAAACACCCTCCCGAGGGCAGATGGAGCGGGCTCCTCGGAGTTTGGCCTCCCCCGGTCCTGCTTGGCCCTCCCGAGCAGCTGGTAATCGGGCTCTTCGGAGGGGCGCCGAGCGGAGTTTTGGAGCGCAGCCTCTCCATAGCTGAGCAGCTCCGGGCTTTTACAGGGTTCTGCGCAGTTGACCCCCAAAGGCTGGTCGGCTGCGTTCATGTGTTCATTAGAATGGAAAACCAAGGCTGTGGTCTTGTACACCCGCCCTGCGCCACATGGCCGGGCCTCCTCCATGGGTCCAGCCTCGTTCTTCTCTTTCGCATCCATTAGAAACCCATTGTTTTGGCTTTTAAAGGAATCTGCAGCTGGGAGGCTTTTGAGGTTCCCCTTTTTGCGGTCCAGAGGGAACGTCTGGTAACACTTCTTAAGGTCGGGCGAGGTCTGCACGCCTGTGCTCTTGGTGACATTGGGGATGGACCTGCGTGCGGGCACTGTCATGTATTTGCGGTAGGCTGCTCTGCAGGACACG